TATTCCACATGACAGAACCACACAAAAAATCCATTGTTAACATTTTTAATCAAATATTGAATAATGAAATACTTATTCCTCATGAATGGAAAGACTACTTGGTTCTGCCGATTCATAAACAAGGAAGAACTGAAAATGATGAAAATTCTTATTGACCCATCTCGCTTGCTTCTCTTAGACGATGCAGATCTACTCAGGAAGCAGTTTCTCAGATCGCTATGTATATTCATATATGCTTTACGGAAAACAAAACCACTACAGCAGCATTTTTAGACATTCAAGCAGCCTAGGAGAATGTTCAATTGAATTTACTTTTTGAAAAACTTGTAGAAACCAAAATCTGAAAAAATATATGCAAGCTTCTGGTTGTTGTCTTCAGAAAGACAAATATATTTGAAAATTGGCGAAACTATTTCTATTCCTCGTAAAACTTCTTTGGGAACACCCCAAGGAAGCATTCTGAGTCCTCTTCTGTATATAATATATACAAGAGATTTAGAAAAATGTATTGAAACACACTCTCAGATAATACAATATGCAGATGACATTTGCATATACACACAAAATTTGTTCTTTGAAAATTCACTTGAAAACTTGGCGAGAGAGATGGAAAGTGTAAATAAGTGGATGGACAAAAACGGATTAATGATTTTGGAAAAAAGAGATTTGCATATTCACCAGAAAAAGAATACAATTTTCATCTCATACAAAATCTGGACCGTGGGTCCTACCAATTCGACCGTCAGTCAAATACTTGGGCATTATCCTAGATAAATCTCTGACATGGAAACACCATATAACTCAAATTCGACAGAAAGCAGACAAAGGTATTAATATCCTTAGAGCCTTCTGTGGAACAAAATGGGGTGCAAATCCAAATATCACCCTAATATTTTATAGAGCATTCATACGTTCAATGTTAGATTATGGAAGTATATTTTATGGAAGTTCTGCAGATACTCACTTGAAGAAATTGGAAGTAATAAAAAATAAATGTCTGAGAATATGTCTGGGGCATCTCCCGTCAACGCCAATATCAGTTATGGAAGCTGAAGCTAAGGAACCTCCATTAGACCTAAGAAGACAACTGCTCAGTAACAAATTTATGACAAGAAACAAAAAAAAATCTTCAAATTTGATTCCCAAACTTCATCAACTTATAATTTTCACACTCACTCATCGATGCTGGCAGAAAAAGAAAACGAATTTATTGGTAGAAAGTTTCACCAGATCGTCTACTTATGACAAAATGATCTACAAAACCTATAATATGGAGCCCATCACAATTTCGGAGACAACTAATGTAATTCTTCACCCAAAAAACTCCAATTCTTTTAATATTTATGACATCAATGCGAAAATTATAAAAGAAACAGTAACATATTTGATTGGACCTACAGATCTTTTTAACAGCTCCATTGTAGAAGGTAAATTTCCGGACAAATTCAAAATATCTCGAGTCATCCCCATCTTCAAGAAAGGTAATGAGAATGAAATTGGTAATTACCGACTTATTTCAATTGCCCCTAGTCTTAGCAAGATCTTTGAGATCATTTTAAAAAATAGACTCTTCGAATACTTCTTAAAGCACAAGTTATTAAACCCAAACCAATTCGGGTTTATAAAATCATCTTCGACAGCTCATGCTTTGAAAAAAAGTGATGGATAACATAATAGAATGTTTTGAGAAAGGTAAACACACTGTGGCTGCTCTGTGTGGCCTGACGAAAGCCTTTTACTGTGACTAACATTCATTACTCGTGGAGAAACTGGAGGCATACGGTATATGAGGGTTACCTCTTCATCTATTTTCATTATATCTTTCAAATAGACAGCAATGTGTTGTACTTGATTCAAGTAATATTTCTGACATGAAACCTATCACATGTGGTGTGCCGCAGGGTTCAGTGCTGGGCCTGCTACTATTTATAATTTATGTCAACGATATTTTTGCTTACATGTCCCCCTTTGATTGTATTGCATTTGTTGATGATACAACTCTTGCTACCCCAGGTAAGGATGTGAATACAATATCAAATGAAATAAATATAGCCAAAAAAAAAGCAGAAATATGGTTTACAAGAAATAACTTGATGCTAAACACAAGTGACAGTGTTAAATTGCTGGGAATTATAATTGATGACTCACTGAACTGGTCAGATCACATAGAGCAGCCAAAATCTCAAAATACATATTTCTATTCCAAAAAGTAAAAAATATAATTAATCTACATGCTCTGTTATCTACCTATTATGCTTTTTTTCACTCCAATATTTCATGTGGTACGATTCTATGGGGTAATAGCACAAAGGCTGATTAAGTTTTTCTCCTTAAAAAAAAGCAATTAGAATACGAAGGTGTGAAATATACCGAAAGCTTGACATATAACAAAGAGTTTTCTTTGTAACAGCCCAGCTATTGACTGCAACTTCACGAATTGAACCGATTGATATATATCAAGTTCTACAAGAAATCCACAAAAATAAAGAAAACTATGAAATTAACTCGGATTTTCACAGTTATTTCACTAGAGGCCGCCAATTAATCAGACCAAACAGAAAGAGACTGCAAAAATCCAGTAAAAACTCTTCGACGTAAACATCTATAATAAACTACCAACATTCATGAAAAACATGAACCCCCAAAAGTTCAAAAATTTTTTGAAAGACTTCTTGACAACGCATGCTTGTTATTCTACAAAAGAATGTATGGCTGTCCTCACGGCAATGACTCATTGAAAATGTATCCCTAATCCTTGATTTGACAATATTTTTATATATGTGTGTGTGTATTTATAAGTAGGTGTGTGTATATTCACGTGTAATTTTTTGTTATACTGATGTTTCTTTTTTCTAATTTTAACTATTTTGTAATTCCTTGACTTATCCTATCTGTATTGCTCTGTTTGTACACCTAAAGGATCAATAAACATGTATGTATGTATGTATAACCTTCCATACTATACAGAAGATTATGACATAATATCCCATGAGTTTAAAGTACATTATTTGGAAAAAAATAATATAGGTTGTGAGGGAGAGTTTTCAGGAATAATCAAGAGGCTGTGGTCAAATGCAGATTATATCTACACAGATGGATCAAAAATATCAGAGAAAACAGGCTTCACATTCTATCATTCAAACACCAAGTATTTTGAAATGTATATACTTCCCAATGAAGCATCCATCTACACTGCAGAATTGAAAGCCATACTTCTGGCAATGCAATATATTCTGACACAAAACTGCGTTCAGTCAATAATTTTCACTGATAGCAAGATTACCGTGGATCGATTGAAAAATTTTCCGAAGTCTGAATCAGTTTTTTGAATTGGAAAAAATCGCCAGAGCCCATAAATTAATTTTCTTACAAAATAGAAAGGTATCTATAATTTGGATAAAATGACATTCCGGAATAAAAGAAAATGAGGTAGTAGATAGATTAGCAAAGCAAGCCTCTGAAGCAAAAGAGTCCATTCAAACCTTTATTCCACATACCGATTTGAATCGAATTTACAAGAAAGATTTAAATGAAATTTGGCAAGATCAATTCAATGAATCTCAGACAGGCAAAAACTTTAAACAACTCTTCTCAAAGATCATTGGAAATAGATGGATCGAACAAGAGAGCGACAGAAAATACTTAAGTACAATAAACCGTTTACGATCAAATCACGCTATCTGCCCAGCTTACAAATTCAAAATTGAATTAACAGAGATCGTTATATCACATCATGTTGGAGTGTTCGCTCCACATCCACAGTATAAACACCCTTTACTCTGAATTGAAATTTCATATCTTTTCCAATAAACTTAAATTGTATGTTAACCTTAAACAACAGAAATATATACATATTATTGTTCAATCATCTGATAAGATGCAAAATTAAAGTATGAATGATTGATTGTAAATATAGTTATAGTATCTACTACTAACAATATATTCAAATGTAAACAGAAATTAAATCATATTATGTACAAATGGATTAAAAAGAGGAAAAAATTTATATAAAACAGTATAAAATAAAATTAAAAAAATACCAACAAAAAAAATTGAGGAAAAGAAAATGCATAAAACAAAAATATAAAACAATTGAATAAAAACACTTATTCAAAAAGAAAAACAAAAATAAATAGAAATGAAAATTCAAAAATCAAAAAACAAAGGGAAAAAATCTATGTTTGAGCTACTACTCAATGTTACTTTCAAATAGTTTTTTTTTATTAAAACAGTCTGGCTAATTGGTTTTCCTCAATCCAAAAAATTCAAATCACACACAAGTATCTAGATTTTTTTTTGCTTAACGCATGTACCATGTTGCTCGTTTTTGCTGGATTGAAATGGCCTGCATGTGATTGTTACTAACCCCCCAAAAGGCAATGCCTTAACGCAAGTAAGATTCAATTAAGGAGTGGACAGTTCGAGTTCATATTTGATATGACACGAACTGCATAACATGTGGATGCTGGTTTGTTTCTGAGAGCCTCGACATGACTAAAAAATTTTAGTCTACTTATCAATGTGACCCCAGGAATTTTGTATGACATTTGTTCTTGTTTGAGACTCTTCAACTTTTCTCCTACTGGAACATTTACAACCTGCCCTCTGAAAGCGACAACATTAGATTTTGAGACTTCGAAAGAAAGCTTATTTGAGTTACAGCTTTTTTTTGTCAGTGTCAAGGCTATAGAGTCTATCTGCAGATAGAGTAGTGCCTAGAGGATGACAGCACGACCAGCTGTCGAAAGCACTCGCAGATAATCAAATAGAAGTTATAGAACTTCAAATCCTTTTTGTAACTTACATTAATAGTAGAAAAAGGAAGTGTTGATTTCTATTTTCAACGTGGCACAAGAAAGTTCAAAGTTCATCATAAATTAATTTGAATGTTTCCTTATATGATACCATGTGTTGTTTTCATGAAAACTTTGTGGGATTTGATTTTTCTAGACATTTATGGATTAAATAGTAATGCTTTCCTGTATAAAATATTTACTTACCATCAGTTTTAGATTTGAGAATTTCACACACAAACACTCCAAATGCATAGACATCAATAAAATCCTTTCTGCCAAGATCATTTTGTAATAGTTTATCTTCATCTGGGTCTATTGATTTGCTGTATCTGCTTGATCTCGTTTTAGCTAGATAATCATAGTTCATGTCCTTATAGCCGCAGAGATATTCCATTCCACCTAACTTCCAGTTCCCATCTTTGGTAACATATATTGAAGTACAACATATATTATTATGGGAAACAAATGCATTTTGATGTAGAAAACATAGAGCTTTTAAAATGGAACATAGTCCAACAGATATCTGCAAAATATTCAGAGATGAGAGGACATGTGAAAGGGGAACAACTTCTTCAACGGCTAAGTAAAATCTTGAGTTTTTTTGCCACGACGAAACGTACTTTATCATACAAGGATGTCGAAAAATCATTGAATTCTAAAAAAAAACACCACTGTTAATCATCCCCCCATTAGATATTTCAGCACTCACCTTCGCACATTTCTCTAATGGAGTTTGGGTAGACCATAAAGAACCACTGACAAATAATTCTCCTATGAATACTGACAAACTCGTACAACTACCATCAGATTTTAAAATGCTGGCTGAATGTTGAGACCAATAGTCACTTATTTCAACTGCTTTTTTGTCTATATCTACGCCTGATAATTCGGATTGTTCATTTCCCATTTTCTTCAAATATTCTACATTAAAAATTTATATTCTATTGAAATGAGGTTATTATTATGACATTTGTTTATCAAAATTGAAGTTTGAAGTATCAAAAAAGGCTATGTTCGGTTTCCCTGAAAAGTCAGAATTTGCTGTTCCGATATTCTGTTTGGGATATGGCCACAGAAATCTGGTTAGTAGTAACGGAACGCGATTCCTGAAAAAAATTGGCCGCTTATCTATCACGGCACCGCAGTGACCGAACTTAAGACAACGGCTGTGATAAACTCGTTTGAAGCAATTTCACACGCCATCTAGTACTTTTACGTTCGTTCTTGATATTTTTGCCATGAAAACAGCTCGTACTGAGGCGCCATCTGAAATAAATGCTATTATTTTAAGGAACTAATGAATTTAGCTTGTAAACGGTGGATTCAGGATTCAGGAAAATGTTTCTGTCATGTCACATTTTAGCTGTCTGTCAGTGTCGAGCCCATCGATATAACCTTAAACCTAGACTGCTAATGGAAAACTCGCCCAAATAGAATTTATGAAAACGTGTCTGCACAATGAGCAGAAGGCCCAAAGACGTGTCATTTCAGATGTTGACACAAGGCTACGACTATTTTGTTCGTAGGCGTCGTCGACTTGATAATTATTCTTGAAAAAATGTGAGAATTGTGAATAATAACAGTGCAATTTCTGACAAATTGCATTGAGTATTTTCCACTAAAAATAAGTAGTAATATTAAGTTACATTTACCATGTGAATATTGACATCAAACCATCCAACCATGAAAAAAGTCATTCTCCAATATGACAGAGAAAATTCTCAAGAGAAAAATCTCTGGCCCTTTAGTTAGGGTATCGAACCCGCGATCGCATACGCTTTTAGCTGAATGAAAATTAATAACGCATTTTAAAAATTGATATTTTTCACATGTTGTAAATTAGATCCAATCCCTCTTTCCTGCGATACGGCCATGTGATTTGTAAACGTCATGAAACTTCATTGCGCATGCCCTGAAGGCTCACTGAAATTTCGTAAATGGATGAAGTTGTGTTATATGGGATTAGCAGTCTAGGTTTAAGGTAAGATTCCTAGAATCCCTGGTGCATGCAACGATTAGATTTTGTTTCGAACTTTTTGAAGGACCATCTGTTGCTTCTAACGATACTTACGAGAATTTTCCCAAGATGGCGCTATTCTGAATTGTTCGAGTCCCCGCTGAGTCAGTCAAATGAGCCTTTTTCCTGAGAATAATACAGCGAATGTGCAGTGTTGCCTATAACCTGGTAATTATCAGGAACGGGGGTAATTGAAGGTACTTCCTGGTAATTTTCCAACAAAATTTATTTTGGGTAATTACCAGGTAATCGAGCTCACGATAAGCTGAACAACCTGGTACTTTCGTCAGATAGTATGATTCAGTTTTTTTCGAAGGCTCACTAGTTGCGTTCCTCGAATCCGTCACGACGAAACTTATTTATATGACCTTGGTCATGGAGTAACTAGTTGAGGTTTTCTGTTTACTTTTGTCATTTGTCATTAAAGTAAATTACTCTAACATTTAACATCGACATTACTGTGGAGCTGGGTTTTTAGACATCTTAGCTGCGACACAGATTCTGTGGCTGCGAGCTGGAGAATCCAGGCACAGGCTGAGAGTCAAGACGTTCTCTTTTCTCTTATTCTGTGATTCCGTGCCGTAATATCAACATCAACCCCAGCGTTCGGAACCGTACGATAATTATCGTACACATACGATAATTTTGTGCCTACGTACGATGTACGATAGCATATTATTATCGTACGCAGATTGTACGATAATTTCTATCATGATGAAAAATTTGAGAATTTATATTATTTCACTCATGCGTTGATAGTCTAAATCGCACTAGCATGATTTTATTTTGTCCAATAAAATCTTGGGAAAATACCGGGAAATACAAGTTCTCTATTCCTATTGGTCCTTACGATCCGCTCTACTAAGTTTCACCACTGTCGATACTGTAACTTTATCCAGCGCCTGCTGTACACGCTTTCTTATTGGTTAGTATAGCATCTACCAATGCGAACAAGAGAATATAAGTTCGATATTTCGATATTTCGATTATGTTCACACTTCATATGTATCGTATATTTTGTATAGAAAAGTTGGCAGTTATTTCGTTATATTATTATGATTATATGTCTGTATTCACTCTGACAAACGGAATTATTCAAATTAAGTGAAGAAAGAAGTAATTTTCTAAAGCAGCAAAATTTTGATTACACACTCGGAGTGATTGTTATCAATGGCAAGTAGGTATATTTATCAAATACATTTTTTCAGTGGCTGTATATTTTCTGTAACTTACTAACCTATTAATTATTTTTTATCTGTGCAANAAATATGTACTTCGGAGTTGAAGTCAGAAAAATGCTAGATCAGGTCGAAATTCGCAATAATGAAAAATTAAAATCAGATTTCGCTACGACTTGTACCGATTTTCTAATTGAAGGTTGTAAAGAAATTAAAAAGCGCTTTGATTTTTCAGATCCTGTTTTAAAATTAGTCTCGTATCTGAATCCGTCAAAAGCAATGTTGAGAAAGACCAGAGATATTGTCCCCAGTTTGCTGCCCTTGATGAAGGCTTTGCCTCGTATTGCATCAAGTGATCAACATCAAATAATCGATGACGAGTGGCGTCAATTACCGTCTTTCGAGCTCCCGGCAGGTATTGATGTAAATGATCCGGTCGATATTTTTTGGGCAAAGCTGTTGGAATGTGAAGAAGGAGATCAAGGAATGACTTTTAAAAACCTTTCAAAATTTGTGCTCGAAACAATTTCACTTCCACACTCGAATGCTGACAGTGAACGCATATTCAGCAAAATTAACTTGATTAAAACTAAGGCTCGCAATAAAATGACAATTTCGACGGTAAACGGCGTGCTATTAGCTAAACAACGAGTTAGAGGTAAAGAAAACGATTGCACAACGTATGATCCATCACAGAGTGAATACAGTCGGATGAACAAAGCGTTACTATACAAAAAAAAAATTACTACAGAAAGCACTGCTAAAACGGTTCAAGATTTATATAGTGACGCGGATGTAGAGGAATTTAATAATATTTTAATGCCAAACGATTTCTAAGTGATAAAACAAATAATTAATCTTTATGAATACCTTAATTATATTAAATTATTTCTTAAAAACTATATTAAAATATAAAAATTATATTTTCTGTTTTTATGAATATAAGTGTATATTGATATATAAAAGAAATTCTTTCATTTTTTATTTCACTACCCATTCATATCCATTTCTTCTTTATAAATACAAAATTTTGGCGTGTTTCATACCCAACTTGCATGGGAACAGTGAAATTTTGTCTGAGTGAATTTTAAGCTTGGCGCGTTTATTGAACTTAAAGTGGAAAGGGAATCAGTTCAGGTCTGTACCACGTGTAAAACATTTGGGTTTCAGTGTTCTGTTGATTTGACAGCGGTGGTTTAAAAAAGATAAACTATCGAGTACTTGCATGCATATCAATATTACAATTTATATGATTTATTTATCTATAAGAGACAGTATCCTAAAAAATACGATAATTTCGATCCATGTACGATAATTTTACGCCCCTGGTACGATAGTCAGTCCACTTCAAGTTGCTAACGCTGAATATGCTCCGTGTTGGGAATCACACGTTGAAAGGTAAGACCTCATTAGTCCTTAGCTCGCACAAGTTTCTCAACTTCTGAGAGTTGTCGTTCATATGGGGCTACAGCTGATTAACGGAAAAACAGATTGTTGAAACAGATTTTTCATCACGTTTTAAAAAAGACACTTCAATATGTGACATTCCTCTCAACAGTTCACAGTTTACTGCGACACGTGTTTTTCGCTATTGAATAAAATCTTCAGGCGTCACAATACTAGCTAAATGAATTCTATCATGCTTTTATAATAATTTGAATCTTATGCTATGTGATACCATTAGGAATGCATAAGGGTTCAAATTACTATAAAAGCACGAAACAGAGTTTGTTCAGTCAGTATGTGACGCCTGAAGATGCCATTGAATGGTGTTACACGTGTCACAGTTCCATCATATGCTGTGTTGTGGATTTTAAAAGGGTTGATCGTTCAGATTTCTGACTCCATCTGGTTATTGTGCAGTAGATTTACCTATATTAAGCAATCAATTCCTTTCATATTAACCTTCTGGGAATAGACTTTATTTCACGCAGGTTTTTGGATGGTATGTGTTGTACTGGGTCATCGTAGTTGTGAATTGTTTCTCTAGGGAAATGCTTTTGAATAGATGCCGATTCAACAATGACAAAGCTATATGACATCCTTGGAATTGCATGGATTTCAATAGTTTGTGGAACGTTCCTCTTTTCAGTTCACGATTAATTTTAGTTTGTTGATTGCTCTATGTCGAGGCACCAGAATTTCATTGGCTTCTTTCTCCTTCATTGAGTTCAGCTCGAGTGTCTCACTGTTCACAATTTTTTCACTTTTTATATTGATCTGGTTAGGACGGTACCAAAAATGGTCACAAAACAACTCGTACTGCTCCCGATCTATGGTCTCAAAATTTATATTGGGCGAACTGGAAAAACCTTTCTCCAAAAGAATAAAAGAACGCAGAAATAGTTTTTCGAATTCAACATTTGCAAATCATCTCTTGGCAGAGGGGCACTAGTCCAATAACGATTACGACGTAGTGCATTCGGAAGAGAAGTTCTCAAAACTTAATCTTGTGTGATACTTAGAAATTATTAGATTCAAGAATTCGTAGCTAGCTCAGTGACCAAATAGATTTGAATAATTTCCTCTTCATTTAATTTGTTTCATAACGATGGCATTGATGGGTAGGATATATCTTTTATTAAGGAAATATAAGATCAAAAGTTGGTTTGATATTTATTATCTGTCCATCTGTCCATAAAATTTGTATTATGTATTTAATTTAATAGGTAGTAATTTGACAGGTAGTAATAGTCCTCAAGATACAACTCACTATTTTTTATAAAAACAATTCATTTTCAGTTAGTACTGAACACGTCTGAAGAAGCTATTTTAAATTGTCGCATTTTATAGACTGTTATAATGGATATTTAGCCAGTTCAATCACATTACAATTGATGATGGCTACATAGAATCAATTATGCAGTCGATAATAATGATTACATATGTACTATTCCGAAAGTAAGGCCCTCTATGAGATATCAGATGATCGATTTTCATCAGAACGGT